GGGGAGCTCAGGGCCCTTGTGGGGATCCCTGTGCTCTAGACTGCTGCCCCCCGCCCCTGCTCCCCACGGCGTGCGCTGGCCGTGCCTGCCACTCCTGAAACGGCTCCTTGGCATCACCAATGCTGCTGCCTCCTGGGCACGCAAGGCTACCGCGGCTGCTGCCCCCTGCCCCTCCCATGCCATGCCCGGTGCGTCGCCCATACCGTGCCCAGTGTGTTGACCATGCCGTGCCCGGTGCTGACAATCCCTGTGTCGGGCTCTCTCTGCAGCTGGAGGAGTCCGAATTCACCTGCGCGGCGGCGGTCAAGGCCCGCAAGTCCATGGAGGTGGAAATCGAGGATCTTCACCTGCAGATCGATGACATCTCCAAAGCCAAGGCAGCCGTGAGTGCCTGAGCCGGTTCCCAGCCCGCGGGGCTCCCCTCCCCCGTGCCCTGCGCCGAGCCGGTTCCCGGCCCGCGGGGCTCCCCTCCCTCGTGCCCTGCGCCGAGCCAGATACCAAGGGGCTCCTGCCCTCACCCCAGTGTTCTGCCAATGCAGTGTGCCCAGCAGGCTTGTGCAGGCCGCTCCAGGCCCCATGGATCATGGCCATCCGAGAGCCTTATGGCTATGGCAGGAAAGGGGGCACCAGCTTCCAGCAGGCATGAGCACCTCGAGCTAATTCCTCCTGGCTCTCGTCATCAATCCGCTTACGCAGGGGAAAGCCCCTGAGCCCACCCCCGAGAGCCAGTCCGTCCCTGGCCTGTGTCCGGCTCAAGCTCGGCGCTCTGGTGCGCTGGAAGGTCCATTATTGTCATGGGTTCTGGCCCGCCCCAGGCAGAACCCATCTGGTGCCCAGCTATGGCAGGACGGGGGGCCCAGAGGAGCCTGCTGCTGGTGCTGGCTGGGCTGGGGGAGCCTTGGAGGCAGTGGGTGGGGGGCGGCAGCGTTTGTGGGCTGGGTGGCCTCACCTCCCTCTCCACTCTCTCCCCCCGCCCCCCCCCCCCACGCTGGAGGAGCAGCTGAGCCGGCTGCAGCGGGAGAAAAACGAGGTGCAGAGCCGCCTGGAGGAGGACCAGGAGGACATGAACGAGCTGATGAAGAAGCACAAAGCATCAGTGGCCCAGGTGATGCCACCCACGCCCAGCGCCACCAGTCCTGTGTGCTGCCGGTCCCCCTTCCTCCCCCGGCGCCCCTGGCACCCTGTGCACGTCCCCCAGCCCCCGGGCGCCCCGTCCTCACTCCCCCCCCCCAGCACCCTGTGCACGCCCAGCCCGCACCCTGCTAGCCCAGCCTTGCCCCACAGACACCTCTCTGTGGAGGCTGGAAGTGAGGCGAGCCGTTAGGTGTCTTCACCCCGCTCTGTAATCTCAGCTGAGCTCTGGCCATCCCTGGCATCCCAAAGGGCACCGCTGGATTCTGTGCCGTGAGCCCACCCAGGAGAGCTGGCCGGGGGGGCTGCCCGGAGGCTGGCAAGTCCCACTGCCTGCCCTAGGGGTGCTGCGCCCTTAGCCAGGCCCTGGGGCTGGGGGAGGGCAGCGGGGCTGGCAGTGGATTCTGAGCAGCCCAGACGCTCTCTGCCCACAGGCCTCCCGGGATCTGGCCCAGATAAATGACCTCCAGTCCCAGCTGGAAGACGCCAACAAAGAGAAGCAGGAGCTACAGGAGAAGGTAGCGGGGTGGCCTGAGTCGTCATC